AGCGGCTTCTCCGGCGCGAGTCGCGATTCGATGTTTTGCGGTCAACCTGTAGAAAAAAGGACAGTGATCACAGTGGTGTAAAAATTGCAGCGAACGGGAACTAGGAAGGGCCTCATTGGAGGTAAAAATCGAGGGAAGCCGCGGCGGTACCGCTGGGTTTCAGTGATTTTTTCGGCCGATTGGCTGGTGGTTTGGCTTTGATTTGGCCACAGGTGGATTTAGCATCGGAAAACGAGCCAAGGGGAGAAATTTTACCTTATTTGGCAGTTGGAAAATCCTCCGGTGCGGCGGCGGCCGGTTCCTTCGGTGGCTGGGTCGTCTTCTCCGGCGAGGGTACTGACGGCTAGGGTTTGGGGTTGGGTGTGGGTGAGGTTATTTATAACCTTCCCCTTTTAATCTCAGCCGTCCATCACGATTTAATCTGGACAGTCCGATCGCGATTAAAATGAGAGTAAATATGGGCCTTCCAACGCGATGCGATCTGGGCTGTCCGTACGCGTGAGATCTGGGCCGTCCGTGCGTGCGGGAACAGATATGAGTCATCCGATCGCGCGCACGCGGATTGCTCACGTGGCCCCGTCCTACGTGGCTTCCCGCGTCAGCGTTCCTGCCACGCGGCGTGTCCTGGTTGGCTGGGGCTGCTGACGTGGCTGCTGATGTGTATATCTTTTCTAAATTGCGTTTTGACCCCCAGTTTTTGATTTTCTTTTCAAAAACACCCCCAGAATCCAAATTTTCACATTTTTTTCCCAAAATCATTTTCAATTAATTTCCAAAAATAATTTTACCCAATTTTATCATTATTATTATTTTTATTTCTCTTAAATTAAATAAATTAAATTAAACATATAATTATTACAACATAAATTAACTATTAAAAAATAAAATAAAATCTAAAAAAAATTCCAATACAAAAATAAAAATAGTTTTGGGGTGTTATATTTTTTTCATGGATTTCTCAAACACGTAATAAGGTTGCCCATACTTTAATTGGAGAGACGAAGTAAGTTTAACAATTCAAGAACCAATTGATTTTTCTGTTCATCTTTTTTTACATAACATATTTCATCCTATATAATTTATTAAATTGATGATTTTCATAGAAAAACATGTATTATTACGAGACATTATATAAGCTACAAAGAACGATTAAAATTAATTTTGTTGAAACTCAAATTTACTGATATAAACCAACTACTGGTGTAAAACAGAAAATCCATTAAGTGTTCTGACTAAAAAAACCTAAGAACACATTATATAGTTCAAGATTAAATCTTTTGTATCATCTTTTAGAGTTACGCATATAAAGAAATTTTTGTTATTTCATCGAGAGAAAAAAGAATAGAAAAGCAAGAGAAATTTTTAACGCATAACAATTTTCCATTTACGTTTTCAGAATAAACCATAAATAACAAAATCGATTCATCTGTGATTTCAAATTTGGTATTTTTAAGTAATTCCTTGTAAGTCCAAATTTCTGTACAAAATTTCTAATATTTTTTCTCTGCGTACGGATAAGTTTCTGTTGATTGGATCGTGTCATGAATCTCGATCTGTAAGAATTAGTTTAGGAATACTTGAATTGCTTAGAGAGAACATTATATTATTTGATTTTTCCTTAACGTAACAAAATCAAATATTTTGTTTCAGATAATATAAAGATTACGTTAATGAATGCGTATATAATATGATTTTTCATGTAATAAAAGATATCTTAACTTTAATAGTAAAGTATTATAAGATTAAATTGAAATTATAATTATTTAAAAAGATAAGATAAAGTTGGTTTACAAAAGTAGCATATAATGACAAGAAGACTATCAAAACGATCCGTTTAATACACAAACCAACTTCTCTTTTTTAAAATAAATAAATAAATAAATAAATAAATTTATTATATTATAATAAATAATAATAATAATAATAATAATATATTATAATAAATATTTTCTCTTTCTCTTTCTCTTTCTCTGTCTCTTTCTCTCTCCCTCTCCTTCTCCCTCTTCCTCTGCTCTGTAAAGACAAAACCCGTGGATCTATCTCATCCCACCATTTCTTTCTCTCTCTTCTTCCCCTCCAGATTAGATTCCTCTCTCTCTCTCTCTCTGAGCAAACCATGCCTTCCTTATCTCTCCTCAGATCTACACCAAACTACCTCTTCACCTTCCTGATCTGATCCTCACTTCAGTCCTCGTTCTCTTTTAATTTCTTCCATACCCACACACCCAACTCTCTCTTTTAATTTTTTCACGGAAATGGCTGCATCTGCTCGTCCAGATCCCACTTCCAGAATCCACCCAGAACCAGAATCCTTACACATCGACCTCTTCGACCGTCTCCCGGACCCTCTCCTCCTCCTCGTCTTTAACAAGATCGGAGATGTCAAAGCTCTCGGTCGCTGCTGCGTCGTCTCTCGTAGATTCCACTCCCTTGTTCCTCAAGTCGAGAACGTTCTAGTCCGTGTCGACTGTGTTATCTCCGACGACGATTCTTCTCCGTCTTCCTCTTCGTCTTCCTCCTCCGACAAGTCTCGTTCAGCTGCTTCCTTCGCCAACATCTTTCGTTTCGTCTTCGGTGGGATTGTCAAGCCTCTTCAAGCTCTCGGTCAGTTCCTTGGTCCCAAAAGATCCTCTCTCATCAGCCCATCTGGATCCTGCGCTTCCTTGGCTTCTTCCTCTTCCTCCTCTTCTTCTCTCTCCGTTGGAAGCGACGACGATGGAGAAATCGACCAAGGGGGCGTCACGCACCACTCGCCAACTCAAGTTCTTAAAAATTTCAACGAGATTCGCTTCCTCCGAATCGAGCTCCCAAGTGGAGAATTGGGTATAGACGACGGCGTTTTGTTGAAATGGAGAGCTGATTTTGGTTCTACTCTCGACAACTGTGTTATTCTCGGCGCCGCCTCGGTTATTTCCAACAGTCAGCAAGTCAAGGGTTCTCGCTCTTGGGAGAATGGAGCTGATGGGTTTTGCTCTGTTAGTGACGATAATGGCAGCATTCCTGAGTCGTTTTACACTAATGGAGGATTGAAATTAAGGGTTGTTTGGACGATTAGTTCGTTGATAGCAGCGTCGGCAAGGCATTACTTACTTCAGCCGATAATTGCAGAGCATAAGACTCTTGATAGTCTGGTTCTGACCGATGCAGATGGGCAAGGAGTGTTGTGTATGAACAGAGATCAGCTTGAGGAGTTGAGAGTGAAGCCATTATCGGCTTCTTCTGCTTCTAAGAGGACGCTTGTTCCAGCGTTGAACATGAGGTTATGGTATGCGCCTTATTTGGAATTACCTGATGGGACTGTGTTGAAGGGGGCAACTCTTGTGGCGATTAGGCCTAGTGAGCAGTCTGCGTCGAAGAAAGAGGTTTCTGATGGGTCTTGGGTTTCCACCGCGTTTGAGGAGCCGTATGGGACTGCAGCGAAGATGCTAGTCAAGAGGAGGACTTACTGTTTGGAAATGAACTCCTTTTAACGAGATCTGAGGTAATTTTTCGAATTTTTGTTCGTTGGAAATGAACTCCTCTTATGGGTTTATGTAGAAGCTTCATAAGTTTTATAATTTTGGTGCTGTTAATATGAGGTAGTATTACAGAAAAAGATTTTAGTTTTGATTGATTCATGATTATATTTCTGAATCTGATTCATTAAATCCATCTAAGTAGAAATTATTTACTAAGTTAAAATATACTTGTTCCAAGGAGATGATAGTTCAAGTTCATTGTTTAAAGGTCACCTGGGTATCATGTGACTTTGGGATTCTGGGTGTTAAATGTGTTGGAGATGGAGAAGAAATCAATCAGAATCAGATTTGATATTAGTTTGAAAATTCATGGATGAAAGTTTCATAAAAGTTTGCCCTTTATACATAACTGCTTAGCTAATTGTAGAAGGGGTTTGGATATCTATTTGCCTTCCATTTTCAGATATTGTTGCATCTCTTCCTCGGCTACCCGTACACATTATAAACGATGCAAGTTGAAACGGGTTTTCAGGAGTCAGATATATATCAAATGGAGAAGGGGAATATGAATGTTTTGCTTTTGGAAACCAGAGAATCAGAAACAATTTTGTTCAATGCGAAGCCTACAGTAGTGCAGTCTTCTGTGAAGCTGAATATTGATATGAGCTACTGCATAAATCGTCCATCACGGGTCTATAGCTTGGTCCATCACGGGTCTATAGCTTGATTTTAACCCTTTTGTGATTAAACATCTGAAATGCATTTGCTGGCTGTTTTTATTTGAAGCATATGCTTGTAAGAGTGCACGCCTGCAACTACTTGATGTTGTAAGAGCTTCTGAAATTTGTAGCTGTTTTCTTTCATCCATAATCTCTGTATATGTGAATATTGTAGGTATGGACATGTTATGCTTATGTTATATACTTCTCAAGTTACATCGAGCAATATACTCTTAATTGAGCTCTGAACATTGCTTGGCAAATCATTATTTATCTTTTGACACTTTGGGGCTGTGACTAATTGCTGCTATTTTGATCTTGTTCTTTGTAATAACTCGAAAAAACCATGATGGGTGTCGGTAGTAGAGGTTGGAAACGATGTCCTTTAAACTGTTGTTGGCAACTGTTGTCCGAAGCAGGTGGGAACCTTTATAATAACACGGGTATAGATCGTGCGTGTCTGAATTTCGTTTTTCTTCTTGTGATACAATTGTAGATTGTAGATATAACTTTTAACTGAATGAATGCATTGGTGCACTGTAAGAAGCAGGTGTGGAAACTTGATAAGAACCGTGATTAAGCTTAACGGGTGTCGGTAGTAGAGGTTGGAAACGATGTCCTTTAAACCATTGCTGGCAACTGTTGTCCGAAGCGTGTGGGAACCTTCATAATAACGCGGGTATATAGACCGAGTCTGAATTTTGTTTTTCCTTTTGTGATTCAATTGTTGTAGATAGGCCTTTATTGAATGAATGCAATGGTGCAGTGTGGACCAAGAGTTGGACAATGATAGGCTTTTAATGCAGCCTGTTGGACTGATTCAATCAAAATTGAATGCAGATGCAGAAACATAGTAGGTATTTTGGCTGATGCCCATGATGCTACTTGCCATGTTTGTGAGTTATGATGATTTTGAGAACCAGCAGAAATCTGTTCCCGGGCCTTCTTTGGTGGGGGGGGTCAAGGGAAGCCATGGTCAAAGAAGCTCTCAAATGATTACTAATGAGATTCTTAGTTCTTATAATACTGTTTTTCTCTTTGTTCTTTCTTTTTCCTGTCTGTTACTTCAGCTTGGTTTCAGGAAATGTTCTTGAAAATATTTAGAATAAATTATCATATTAGTCTCTGAAATATTTATTACAGTTTATTTATTTATTTATTTATTTTTAATTATAAGTTGATTATTAATATTTTTTTTTGTTTTAAATGTATAGTTTTATTAATTTTTTTTTAAAAAAGATGAAATTATTAGATAATATTTTTATGTTTTAAAAAATTGAGTTTCAATAATTATTTTAATTAATTGATTTTTTAAAAATATTTTAAAGCTCTCAAATGTTACTTAATAATTTTATTTTCTATTAAAAAAATTATAAGCTTAACATAAACAGAAAATATAATTTGCAAAATAATAATAATAATAATAATAATAGATATAATGCAGACAAACTGCCACATATATATTAATACCAATTAAAAATGATTAAGTACAAACAAGAGATATAAATTTGTTAAAAGTATATAACTCTAACGAGTTATATTTTTAACAAAATTTGATTATTTAAATTGAGTCAGACTCTTGTTTTTATTCTATATAGAAAAAAATAAAATTTTATTTAAAAATACAAATTTCTAATAAAAATGTAATATAAAATTTAGTCAAAAGTCGAGAAAAGATGTCTTTGATAAAAAAATCAAGAAGAAACCACTTGGTTGAGCATCACTAACCGAAAAAAAAGTTTTGTGCCATGTATCAAAGAAAATGTGTGGAACATTATCGTTAGAGAATCATAAATTTTTATATTTTCAAGTTTGCTTAACCTTAACATTGTTAATCGGAGAGAAAATGGAGTAGTTTACAATACACTCAACACGGATTATGAGTCTACCAAACCCATGTCTAAAAAATCTAAACTAGCACGATCGACACAACGCATACAATAAGTAAGGTACCACTCTAGAACTCTTAAAACCTACTCTAGTTAGCAAAAGCGACCAACTCCTGCTCCCTTAACTTAAACATTCGAAAATCTCCCACCTTCTGCCTTGTCAGGAATACTAACCTTCTGCCTTGTCAGGAATACTAACCTAAAAATATATTCAAAGTAAACCTGATTTACTTAGAGATTTGAGGATAAAAATTTAGACGTCATACATGTTATTTTGTAAAAATCATATATAAGAAGTTTTAAATATCATATGTTTTAGCCACCAATACTGTAACGGCCCCGAAATTTTTAAAATGAAATATGTGTATTAAAAAGGTCAAATGCGGAAGCGTAATAAAAATTTGACTAACATCCCTTACATTAAAACAAAAAACGTGCTCAAAGTATAA